CGGTGTGCACAAACAGGGCAGAGTGCGCAGCACGCCTCATCGGTTCGATACCACTCCACGCCCTCCCAGCCACACCCACTCCCCAACATCCCGCTGGCGCCAGCCCAAGGCTGACCAGCTGCCGCGTTCTCCCTCGAGCCACACGGAGCACACGAATGCGTACAGCGCGGCGCAGGACTGTAGCGGTGCGCTTGGCCCGCGTGCTCACTCCCGCGCGGCGCCCGCGGCGAAGTCGATGCCCAGCTTCCTCGCCGAACTCTTGAGCTTGCCGCGCAGGGGGCGACAGCGTCTCGTGACCTCGCGCCCGCAGTCGGACGAGTTGGACAGCACGACGCCCTTGCCATCGTTGACGACGAGCCCGTCCGCCGAGAGGTCGTCACGAATCCTCTTGTAGGCCGTGCTGGCGTTGGCTGCCACAGCTCTTGGTGGCCCGACCTTGCTGAGCTGGGTGTCGTCGACCGTGTTGTGTTGCCCGCGTCCACCGCGCGTAGCGCCGCGATCTCGTCCAGCCGCGGGACGAGGAATATGCGCATGCATAGGCCGGCAAAGCTGCAGCCCGCCAACACTCCGCGCCTCGGGCTGCACCAGCCCATGGCGACGCCGTCCACGGTGACCAGCCTCGGCAAGGCGCACAGCCTGACGAGCAATCTCATCAGCACCACGTTGAAGCCCATTGCGCGGGCGCGCACGACCAGCAGCGCCCACGGGATGTGTTCGTAGGCCTTGGAGAGGTCCATGAACACCGTGCAGGACGCCTGCCTCCGATGAGTTGCCACCTCTGCGTTGGCCGCCTGGATCCACGCGCACGTCTCGCAGCTCTGGCCAGCTGTGCCGTAGACGTAGTCCCTCTGGTGGTCGCTGGCCCAGCGGGCACCAAGCGTGCCGCGCGCCCAGCGCTCGAATGGCCTCAGGGAGCCTGCGAACAGCCCGATGGTGCGGAACCCCGGCTCGGCCTTCGGGATGAGCGCCATCTGCAGCACGGCCAACGCCTTCGGCACATGATCGAGGGCCATCATGCGTCGCCATACCGCTGTCAGGGCCACCAGCGCGCCATCCGACAGGAAGGTGACACGCCGCGGGTGAAAGGCGTCGCCCCCCATGCCCGTGATGCGCGGGAAGGAATGGCCCACCTTCCGCAGCTCGTCGGGCGTCGGCAGCGGGGGGGCATCGCCGAGCTCCCTGGGCCAGCGGATTGCCTCCAGCCCCTCGCCCTGGCTCCGCAGGGCGTGCCGCGGTCTGATGGCCGCGTCCGCCGCCTCTTGTGCCGTCTGCAGCCCCACCGCTGGCGACCAGCGTGCCGCTGCCCATGGGGCTGGCTCGCGGATCCAGCGGAAAGCCTTGCGCATGCCATCTGCTGCCGTGGCGTCGCGCGTCCAGTCGATCCAGGCCTTGTAGCGCCTGTGCGACGCTCTCCCTGCCGCCGCCACCGCATGATGGCGCAGGAGGGCCAGCAGCTCGTCGCACTCGACCTCGGTGAGGCGATGCAGGCGCCGCGCCAGCCGCCGCCAGGTGTGCCACACCGTCTGCTCGCAGCCAGGGACGGGTGGCTTGAAGCGCAGGAGCTTCACTTGCAGGCTCCTGGCGTGGGCCCGAGCGGCCTGCTCCTCAGCCCGCATCAGCCGCCACTCCTGCACCCTGTCCGCCAACCAGCCCCAGTGTGCATCAGCTGGGTCTGGCCGCTCGGTGGGCCGCCAGCCGCTGGATCGGTGGCGCTCCAGCTGCGTCTGGACAAGCTTCACGCCCTCGCTCCTGCCGATGTACCTGCTGGCCTCCCGCGTGCCCTCCAGGCCGAAGTGCCTCAGCAACTCATCCTCGGACCTGTCTAGGACCTTCGCGCATGCGGCTTCGAGGCTCGCAGGCGTGGCGACTGAGTCCAGGTCGGCGTGAATGTCAGCCCATTCAGGCCCAGGCAGCTGAGGCCCAATCAAGGCCTGGGCAGGGAAAGCACGTGCCTTGTGTACCCGCGCCACCAGCCCACCAGGCCTGGGCAGCGCCAGCTGCAGGAGGACCGCGCGGTGCGTCCTGTCGTCGAAGTGGTCGCACCTGCTGACGTTCAGGACGGGCGTGTCGACGTCCACGCAGAAGTAGTCGAGCTCCCGCGCCGACGTCGCCGTGATGCAGGTTGCCTCGCCCGAACACGCCAGCCGTGCACCCACGGCAGGTAGCAGGCGCGCCTCGTTCACCACGTCGGGCAGCATGTTCCAGTCGGCCCCAACGACGAAGGGGCGGTGCATTGCCCGGATGACTGAGCCCAGGTTGGTGAGCAATTCCAGGTTGAAGTCGCTCAAGTCCTGGCTGGTGTGAAAGCACGCCGATACCATGAGAGTGCCCGCTGTCGAGCCCAGCGAGGTCATCCAGAATCCCATGCGAGCCGAGCAGCGGATGGATATGCGGTCGTCGCTGAACCCGACACGTCGAACCCGCACCCACGGCCGCACCAAGATCCCCACGCCTGAGGACACGCCGTCAGCGGCCGTGGCGGACGCTGGGATGAGGTCCGCCACCCAGCCCGCTCGCTTGGCTGCACGCACAGCTGCCGCCAGTCGTAGGTCGTCGTGGAGGCGGTGTTCCTGCAGTAGTATGGCCTGGACCTCGTCGTCTACGTGGCCGCGCTCCAGCTGCTCCAGGCAGGGGCCCCAGCCCGTGACGTTCACCGTCATGACCATCATGGTGTCGCAGCTGCCCTTGCGGGCCGATGTTCCCGTTCGTGCCCGAGGCGGCTCGACCTCCGTGGAGGGCCTCGCGCTGCGGGTGCCCCGGGGTGGCTCGACCTCTGACGAGGGTCGCACGCTGCGGGGAGGGAGCGATGACCCAGTCCATGCCCGAGGCGGCTCGACCTCCGAAGAGGGCCGCGCGCTGCGGGAACCCCGAGGTGGCTCAACCTCCGTAGAGGGCCGCACGCTGCGGGGTGAAGCACCTGGCCGAAGGGTTTCATCCCCTCCGACGTGTGCCTCGAGCGTCGGTGCTGCGACTGTGGGCTCCCCTGTCGGCTGCCAGCAGCCGCTAGGTTCCTCCTCACTCGCAGCACCAGCTATAGCGGGGCTAGCCCATGGCCTTGATCTTCGACAGCGCTGTCCTCTCGTACGCCTCGTGCCAGAGGTCGTGGGGACAGTCTTAGTGGTAGGTGAGGTCCAGTTGGCGCCGTAGCACTCCCCTGAGTAGCCGAACGCCGACACGGACTCACGCTTGTAGTAGAAGAAGGGGCTGGCCTCGCACTCCCCCGAGTAGACCTCCAGCCCAGTGTGGTTCATAACGTGGCGGATGTACCGTCCCTTGGCCAGATCGTCCGACTCCCTGGCGGTAGCCTCGGCGTGCGCCGCATGCGCGGGCGCGCGGCGGCGCAGGCCTCGCCTCGTGCGTCGTGCGAAGCGGAGCTCACGCTGCCGCTCCGCCGCTGCGCCCGCCGCCCTTGGCTGCTGCTGGCGGGGCCGCCTTGGCTGGCGGAGGTCCCCCCGCTGCCTTCCCCGCTGCGGCCAGGCGTGCCCGTCCCTGTGCCAGGACGTCTGGGGCTGGGGGTGGTGCGGCGCCCGGGGCCTCCGACGCTGCTGCCGCCGTCGTCGCCGCGGCTGCCGCTGGGGCGTCCGCCTCCCGCGCTGCCGCCGGCGCCGCGGCGGTCGCGCCCTCGGCCGCGGGGTCGCCGTTCTTGGCCCCGTCCGTCCTGCGCTTCTTGGACTTGAGGCGTTCTCGCTGCTCTCGATGTGCCTCCTCCAGCTTCTTGCCGTCTTCCTTGAACTGGCCGAAGGCCTCCCGCGCCAGGGAGCCGAACTTGTCCTGTAGGTCCTGGCGCCGACGCTGGACCTCCTGGCGGTCGATGTCCTCCACCACGAATCCGTCCAGCTCCCCCAGGCCGAAGAGGCCCTCGTCGTCCAGCGCCCACGCTGTCTCGCCCGCCAGGACGGCCGAGATGCTGAGCTTCGGCTCCGCCGACGAAGCCACAGGCTGTGGGGCCACCGTCGTCGCCAGCGCCTGCACCGCCTCCGTGTGCGCCTGGGTGGCGCGCGCGAGGGACTCGGAGCGCTCCAGCACGCACGTCTTGGCCTCGTCCAGCTGTTGGTGCAGCCCCTCAGCCTCCTGCAGGGCGGCCTGGAGCGACTCGGCCGCCGCATCTTTGGCCTTGGCGGCCTCGTCGACGGACGTGGGCCTGGCCTCCCGCTGCGCCCGCAGTGCGTCGAGCCTAGCCTGGTACTTCGCCACCTCTGGGCCCTCGCCGCTGAGACGGAGCAGCTCCACCAGCTTGGTGAGCTGGGCCTCCTCGGGATCCTCGGCTCCAGCAGGCGCCAGGGCGTGGGAGCTGGCACCCCTCGGCGCCCGAACGCGGCGACCACCTCGGCCGCGACCCGCGGAAAGCTCGCGCGCGCTGGCAGAGGCGCTGCCAGCGTCGTCCCGCTCGCGCCATGGCGGGCAGCCCCTGGCTCTTGCGCCTCGGCTGGGCGGCCTGCGCGAGTGGCCAGCTGCACTGCCGCCGCCAGCGCCACCAGGGCCAGACGGGCCGTCGCCGACGAGGGCCAGCGGCCTCTTGCAGTGGCAACACCACGACCGCCATGTCTCGTTTCTGCGGCAGCCGCAGTGCTGGCAGGCGTCAGGCGCGCCCCCGCGCCCTGCCTGCGCGCATGCGGCCGCATGCATCGGCGGCGCGCTGCCGTGGTGGGCTGCCAGACGCGCGACGTCGCGCTGGTCCAAGCTGGCGACCGCGACCGCCCCTCGCGGTCGGCAGCCGCCGTCACGCCCACCCCTTGGGCGGCGCTGGGGGCTATCGCACGCGGGCCCCGCCGAGCCCCGCCGCGGGCCAAAACGGCTTGGCCCGCCGCGAGCCACCTGAAGGAGGAGGAGGAGGAGGAGGAGGAGGAGGAGGAGGAGGAGGAGGAGGAGGAGCAGGAAGATGGATAATAGGATGAGGGGGGGAGAACGAGGGAGAAGAGGAGGACGGGGAGGGTGGAGGAGAGGGTAGGGGGGAGGAGAGGGGGAGAGGGGAGGGGATGGGGCGGCCGCGCCCGCGCGAGGTCCAGCGCCTGCGGGCGATGGAGCTGGAGCGGCTCGGCGCGGAGCTGCAGAGGCTGGGGGGACTGGAGCGGCAGCTGGCGCAGGATCTGGAAGGGGCGCTGGCCCGCGTGGAGGAGATCCGGGCCGCCCAGGCGGAGCTGCCGGAGGCGCTGGCCCGCGCGGAGGAGCTCCGTGCCGCCCAGCACAGGCGTCCCCGCCCTTGCCCCTCCTCCTCCTCCTCTCCTCCTCCTCCTCCTCCTCCCTCCTCCACCTCCTCCTCCTCCTCCTCCTCCTCCTGCCTCCTCCTGCTCCTCCTCCTCGTTTCTCTCTCGTCCTTCCTCCTCCTCCTCCTCCTCTCCTCCTCTCCTCCTCCTCCTCCTCCTCCTCCTCTCTCCTCCTCCTCCCCTCTCTCTCTCCTCTCCTCCTGCTCCTGCTCCTCCTCCTCCTCTCCTCTTTCTCCTCCTCCTCCTCCAATCATCATCATCATCCATCATCATTCATCATCATCATCATCATTATCATTTATCATCATCATCATCATCATCATCATCCTCATCCTTCTCCTCCTCTCCTCTCCTCCTCCTTCTCCTCCTCCTCCTCCTTCCTCCTCCTCCTCCTATTATCCTCCTCCTTCTTTCCCTACTCCTCTTCCTCTGTCCTCCTCCTCCTCCTCCTCCTCCTCCTCCTCCTTGTCTTATTCTTCTTATTATTAGTATTATTATAATTATCATTATTATTCTTATTATTGTTATTATTATTAGTAGTAATATTATTATTAGTATCATCAGTATTATTATCAATTTCAATATTGTCATTATTATTATTACTAGTATTATTATTATTAGTATTATCATCATTCGTATCATCATTATTATTAGTATTTTTATTAGTATTATTATTAGTATTATTAATATAATTAGTATTATTATTATTATTAGTATTGTTATTATTAGTAGTAATATTATTATTATTAGTATTATTGTTATTCTTATTATTTTTGCTATTTTTATTATTCATCTTCTTCATCTTCTTCATCTTCGTCTTCTTCTTCTTCCTCATCCTCCTCCTCCTACTCCTACTCCTCCTCCCGCCTCCTCCTCCTCCCGCCTCCTTCCGCCTCGTCCCGCCCCGTCCTCCCGCCCTGTTCGCCGTGGAGAGGCAGCCTGCCATCTTGGGGGCCGAAGATCAGCTGGGGCTCCTCGCCGTTTTCCCTGGCCTCTCGGGCGCCCTTGAGCCTCGCCTGGGGCTCCAGGGGAGTCCGTCCGAGAGCGGGCCCGGGCGGAACGGCCCGGTCCTGGGGCACAAGCGGAGGCCTCTGCCCTCATGTACGCCAGGTTTCGGGCAGCGGCTTCTTCGGCGTCACCCCAACATACTTCTACTAAACTTGCTTCGCCCCCCCGGGGGCGATGCGCGCACCGAGAAATCTTGCAGCATATGCGTCGTGGCGGACGCTTTCTGGCCACACCGCTCGAGAAACGATATACTACAAGATGGGTATACTATATGTTCGGGTCGGACGCGCGCCTCCAAGGCGGACATATAGTATTAGTATGTCCCTGTGCAACCCACTTCTGGCTCCGTATGGCCGTCGGGGGCAGTGCGCTGCGGGCGGCGGGCTCCTTTCCCTGGCAGCCAGGGATAGTTCTGGGCGTGGTGGGCGGTTCGTGTGTCAAGCAACGGGGGTGCGATGACCGGGGGGGGGGAAGGTGCACCTTTTATGCCGAAAGGGCCCTGAAGTGGCCCCCATGGGCCCCCCAAAGGGGCACGTGAGGTGCACCCTTCTTCCTAGGGCATGGGCTCTGGGCGGGGCTCCTTGTCAGCCGGTGGTAGTTATGGGCGTGGCGGGTGTTTTTCTGAATTCGGGGCGATCGAAATGACGAACAAACAACACACACCCATACCCAAAGAGAGGTCGGAAGGACGGGGACTGGCCATGGGTATTAGAGCGGGCTGTCAGACCTGGGAGACGCTCCCGTTCGAGCGGGGACCCCCATCCAACAGCACGAACCCATAGCCCCTTTGTTCCCCCCTATTGGCATGGGTGTGCCTGTGTGTGCGCTTTCGGAAAGCATGGGTACAAAGACCGACCGCATTTCCTGATCATTTTTAGCAGGACTCGCTGCCGGTATCGCCGCGGACGCTGTCCATTTGAGACAGACGGCCGCCTGCCCAACAGCGGCCACAAAATTCGCTTGAGGGCATCGTACCCACCCATTTTTTCTGTATTCGTGCTGGTCGCCGAGAGACTTGGTACTGCCCATGGTCACAGAGCCTGACTTGCAAGACCACGTGCTGACCCCAGCGGCGGGCAGCCCAGAACGGGCAGCGACCGAGAGGGGAGCCGCCGTTTCAGACACAGACATCCGACGTCTTCACTTGTTTCAACACGGGGTCCCCGGAACTCCAGACCCCTGCCCCAGGGCCAGCTTGTCATGCCAAGTCGTTTTTCGACAGTCCTGGGG